TATACATGCATATACATATATATATATCTCCCCCCCCTTCTTTGTGCTGTTATGGCCATATATATTACTTCTATATAGATTATCAATCCAACACTAAAGTATACTTTTTATGTTATCTCCTGCTATCTAAAAGTAGAATGCTTCTGTTTGCTGCCATGTTGTAGATTATTTTGGAGGGATGCCATTATCATTAATTTATAGGTTCAGTATTATTAAAGTAATTAAGACAAAATGCCAGACTTTTGTATATATTTGTGTATATATGCATATGTGTGTATATATTATGCCACACGTGATAGTTCCTCTTTTTTTAAGTAGTATTGGTTTACATTATTTTTGTGAGTAGCGATATGTATCTCCTCTTTCCATTGTTTTTGTGAGTAGCGATATGTATCTCCTCTTTCCATACCCACCACCAAGACACCCATAATCTTTCACCTCTACTGTAGTCCATTGTACATTTACCAGTTATGAAATATTTTATTTTTACCTTTGGCATTGTTTTCTGAGAACTTCCTTTGCTGTATTTTATAAGGCAGGTCTACTAGTAAATTCTCTCACTTTCTTTCCCTGGAAATGTTTTATATATTACTTTCATTTATTGAAAGTGAGTTTGCTTGCTATCGAATTCCTGGGTGACTGTTCTGGGGTTTTCCCCTAGGACTTATCTAAGTCCTGCTGCCATTTGAAATGATGAGAAGTTGGTCATTATTATGTTATTCCTCTTTTTGTGGCAAGTCCTTTCTCTCTGCTTTTGAGATTTGACTTTTCAAATGACTTTTAGCCATTTGACTATGATGTATCTAGGTGTGCCTCTCTCTGTATTCCTACCTAGGGTTTGTTGAACTTCTTATATAACTCTACTTTTGTAGTTTATGTTTTTCATAAAAGCTTAGACTTTTCCAGCCAGTAGCTCTTTAGATTTTTCACCTGTTCCTTTCTCTCCTTCTCACTCATATATACATTGCTGTGTTTGCTATTATTATCTTGCAGGCCTGTGAGACTCTCTTCATTTTTTTCTCTTCAGACTGAATCATTTTTATTACTGTATATTCATAATTTTAGTCTACTGCCACCTCATATTTTAGGTTTTTTTTTTAATTATACCTTCTAACTCTAAAATTCCTGGGATTTTTTTTTAGTAGTTTATATTCCTATATTGAGATAATATAGTTATGGAGTTATTGTCATAAAATTTCCATTTTAACTCTTTGAACAGAACCTTCTTTCATTCTTTGAACATCTTTATAACCATGGCATTGCTTTGAAGACTCTTTGTAAATTCAACTTTTAGGACCACAAAGTCATTTTATTACTAACTTTTCCACCTTAGCCTGATCCTTTTCTGTTTCTTTGCATGTTTCATAACATCTTTGAAAAGTAGACACTTTAGGAAAAATACTGTAACAATTTTGGATTCCAGCATTTTTTCCTGAGTGCTGTCACTGTTCTTAAAATGTATTTTATAAATTTTCCTATGTTTTGCCTGCAGAATTCATCTCCGCTGTTAGTGTGGTCCCCGATGTCTTTGTTTTGCTTTTCATTTTTTGTTTTCATGTTTTAGCATCGATGGACATAAATTGCTCCTGGATAAACTGACAGGACAAAGGTTGCGCTAAAATGCCTCAAGTCCATTGAGACTTTCTTTTCTGCCCCATGGATATAGGTGTGGGTTGGGAGCACATTCAACATTCAGGTATCGCTCAAGTTGCTGTTGGCTTTTACCTTCCATCAGGGCTTTTTGTAGTTTTGCTGCACATACGTGTAGTTCCCAGCCTGCCAGGCCACCTAGAGAATTCACAGAGCCTGTCTAAGGTTGTCTCACTTCTGGGCTCTTCCCATTACATTTCTGGCAGGTTGCTGGTTGTCTCCACTAGGATGAACACATCTGATGTACACAGGTGCTGTTTTCCTGTCCAGTTGGTATCTATTTTGCCTTTTTTTTTTTTTTTTTTTGCCAATACCATTGGGCAGTGGTCTTTGCAATCTGCTCTAAATCAAGTCAGCCCCACTGCCTGGCGGCTTAGTTTCCGGCTCTCGTGCCCTGCACCACGCCAGCAAAACTTCCTTGTTGATGGAGCCGGAGTGGAGGCAGGTGGAGCTACTGGGTGTTTTGGGGTAAGAAGGCTGCAGATTCTCTCTGTTCCTAACTTGAAGTTCTAGCAGTCTTCCATGAATTAGGACTTCTCAATTTTTTTACTTGCTTTTTGGTGGATTCCACTGTCTGGAAATAGGTTTTTTTGGCTTTTAAAACAAGTTTTATGTTTATTTTTCAGTATGACTGAATGACCTCTACATTCAGTTCTACATGGCAGTTCGTTCTTACTGTTCTTTATAAAACATTTCTTAAAAGATGAAGGTAAGTGATATGCCTTGTTATAATTCCTATTTTAGCAGACCAACATCCCATAGATGTCTTTAAAGCACCAAAACAGTATTATTTTTATTTTTAAATCCAAGATAAACTTCCAGTTTTTACAGTCATTGATTTAATATTATCTGTCTAATCAACAGCTATAAATCTTAATATTATACATAATAAAAAAATACTATCTTTTTTTTTCAGGTAGCCAAAGCTTGCAGATGCATAAGAGATATCAGTAGATATGTGTTTATAAATATTAGTGTGAGGCAGGTGTGGACAGCTGGATTCAAGTTGTACAGCAGGATTTGCTATAGCTGTGGCCCTGGTGTCAGCTTCAGGGTGGGGGTAAGGGTGAGGGGAGCAAAGAGAGTGCAGGCAGGGGCTTGTGTAGGTAGCATTCGGGGTATATGCACCATCCTCCCACAGTGGTAACTCAACCCTGCCACAAACACATCAAACCCCCCACTCCCAGTGTCACCTGTACAAGTAGAATTGTCCTTCCCATTTCATGCAAGTAGGGGTGAACCTGTTCACACAGTCACAAATGTTTTGGGGTTGGAAGGTGAAGGAACAGCCACACATAATTCTTTTCATGGGCTTCTCTGAGTTCATCTTCTGGGACTAAGCAAAGGAAAAGCCAGGAGAATCTAGCTGATCCCTTGTCGAAATCCAGCCTCCAATCTTGTTTTATTTGGCCCACACTGGTTTTTTTTTTCAAATTGTGCCAGTATTTAAATGTAGAAGATTTTACATAAAAATCTGGATTTGTAGGTTATTTTGACAAATGGGAAGACCTGGCACACTGAACCTTGTTCCCACATGGCACAGTTGGCTGAAGTGGGAAGCCAGCCTTGCTGGATCCACTCTCCAATTCCCACAACCCTTGTCATCTGGGGGTGAATCTACCAGGTCTCACCCCTTCAGTCACTGCCTCAGCTTCACAGGTATTTATGAAGTCTGGTAAGGCTGCCATAGCAAAATACCACAGATGAGATAGCCCATCAGTGGTGCAGATTTCTACTTCACAGTTCCAGAGTTTGTAAGTCTGAAGTCAAGATGCCAGCCTGGTCTTATGACAATCCTCTTCAGGGTCCCAAAATTCTCACCCTGTCTTTGCACAGCAGAAAGCAGGGAGCTGGCTCTCTGGAGACTGAAGGCATTAGTCTCATGCCTGAGGTTCCCCTCTCTTGTGACCCAAACATCCCCCGTAGGTCCCCCTTCTTCATATTATCACACTGGAGATCAGGATTCGAACATATAATGCAGTATTTAGTTTTGCAGTCAGACATAATGGTTAATCCACGGTGAAAACTATTGATAGATTTATCAACACAAGTTGTTTCAAGTGGGTGGAATTGTGTACAGGTCCTCCCTGGTGGCGCAAAGGGTTAAAACGTGGCAATACAAGGGTAGCCACAGCCACTTCAGCATGGGTTCAGTCCCCCCACAGAGGTGACCCACAAGGCACAGCAGGCCTCTCCTGTCTCACCAGCTGCTCCCTCAGCAGTGTACTTCGTTGGTCTCCCTGTTCTGCTCCCCACTCTGTCTCTGGTGAATCCTCTCACGGACCCTACACCTCTGGCCTATGCCCAAGTTCTGTATTATGCATGGATAAATAGATCTTTAAAAATAAAAATAAGAAAAGAAATCTTTTAGGGCACACCTGCATTCCTCATCTAACAGCAGCCTGAATTGCAGCTTAACCAGTCATTCTCATAAAGTTAGCAGAGTTCCAGGTGTGTTTTTAGCTTATAGAAGCAGCCCTTTGGGCTTGGGAGAGATAGGAGAAGAAAAACGTGTAGCAGAAACTCAATGAGAGCAATTTAAGTATTGTAGCTGCCCCTCCCTTCACTCCACTCCCTGAACATGTACCCATAGGTGCTGGATGTAGTTAGGCCTGAAACAATATACTTGCAAAACGTTATGTTAAAAAATGTGTGAGTGGGGCCCTCCCTGGTGGCTCAGTAGGTTAAAGCACAACACTAAGCAGCTAAAGCCACTTCAGCATGAGTTCTATCCCCACCCGGAGGTGACCTAGATGGTGCGGCAGACCTCTCCGGACCTGCCCGCTGCTCCCCTCGGCAGTGTTCTTCGTCAGTGGCCTGTTTTGCTCCCCACTCTGTCTCTGGTTAATCTTCTCACCACCCCTGCATCTCTGGTCTGTACCCCAGTTCTGTATGCATAAATAAGTAAATCTTTGGGGGGAAAAATGTGTGAATGATTGTGGTCTCCTTAACATTGATACAAGGGTGTATGAATGTATTGTTCATATGGTTGAGCTCCTGGGCTTCATGGACATCCCCAAGATAAAAATAATTATAGACTAAAGAGAAACACTGACTGATAAAGAATTGGAGGGAACTGATAAAACTTATCTATAGTTTGTATTGTGTAAACCAGTTATGAGCTCTCCTCTACTTGACCAGACTGTTTTGCCAATGCGTTGCTACTACTCAACAATTTCTCCTCATGTTTGGATTATTAATTACATTTCAAAATTGAAATCAATCTGAATATAAATACAACTACAAATGTAAAGCAAACCTATGATTTAAACAAGTAAATCAGATCATGGATGTTAACTTTTTCAACAAAACTCACACTGGCAATTCTGGACCAATTCTGGCTCTTACAGGAACATCCAATACTTGGGCAACCATTTTTTGTACTTCATCCCTGCAAGACAAATGAATTCATGGCTCCCATGTTAAAGAATTCTTGGAAAATCAATAGGTAAGAAACACTATCAAGATGCATTGGCTTTTATTCTTATTTTGAAAGTGTAAATCTTCGTATGTGACTCTAAAAGCTAAGCTGAAAAAAAGAAGTATTCTTTGTAATAATAATGACGGCCAACATTTATTGATTTTTACAATGTGCTAGGCACTGTTCTAAGTATTTTAGATGTATTAATGTATGTCCTTTTATAGCACCCCTGTGAGTTAAGTACCATTCTTTAACCTGGTTACAGAAGAAGTTAAGCACAGAGGGGTTCAGTGACTCGGCCATGGTCACACCTCTAGTTAAGTCATAGAACTGGGGCTTGAAACCATAATATCATTCCCTTAATCAATGCTTCGCTTCTCAGTGGCTTTGGACCCTGAGACCTTGACAAGAAATAGGGTTGGCATTTGAAAATGCTAGAATTCCAAGTGGTGAGCACACATTTTTGAAGGAAACCTCATTCAATTATTGTTGGTAACTGATTTACTTTCACTCACTTGCCCCCCAGGAATGCCAACTACATTACCTCATGGCTGAGCATTGTCGGGCCAGTTATTGGGCTGAATCTACCTCTGAGCTATGCAAAAGCAGCTGCTCAAGATGAAAGAAGCATTGACTGACCAGGTACAGGAAAACTTGACACTTTTGCTGTTGCAAAGATCACAGTGATGTTTCTGGTGCTTGTGGACACGTCGTCCTTACTGCCCCACCAGCTATCAAGCTAGCTTTCATCTTTTACAGACTGAACACTGACTTGCCTCTTTAGTTTTCCAACCAACCAGTGGCCAATAATTTAGGAAGCATTTAACTTTATTACAGTAACAACAGTTACCCAACTACTGAACTGGATAGTTTTATTTTAGAACTGATATTTCTGAATAAGTTTTTACTGCTCTTTTAACCTTCTTATATTCTCTCGCCTTTTGTTTAGATTCTCCTGTTGAGTCCATTGAAGGTAGAGATAACAAGAAGAAAACTGAGTTTACCTGGAGACCCTGGTTTAGTAACAAACCCTGGGATATGTCAGCACACCAAGATTTTGGCAAGGAATTTTTTTTTTTTTAAATCCCTTGATAGCAACTGACATATTATGTATATCATGAGAGGAAATGTCTGAGAGATACAAATCTGTATAAATGGCAAAAAAAAAAAAAATTTTGAATCTAACTCAATAATAGAACTACTGACACCCACGAATACTACCAGTCATTCTTTTCTGGACCAAACAAAATATTCCCTTTTTTTTGATATGAAGACTGATGGAAAAATAGACATCTGTGCTTATTTTAATGTAAGATGTGTGGAAATTAAAGTATAATAAAATATAATATTTACATGTTCTAAAAACTAATGTCATAAACATGATCTATCTTACATTATTCTCCCTTAATCAGACTTGAGGATGATAGATTATTCATTCCTTTTTAATCTAAAAGTGTGTTTGTGGATAGATAGCTAGGTAGAGAATAAAGAAAACAGGTACAGTGAGATAGTGTATAAAAATAAAAAGTGAGATAATGTATTTTTATAAGCAAAGTGTAGCAGCAAGGTAGTAAGATGAACCTGATCTGGAAGAGATTTTTTGCTTGGGGTTGCTTATTTAGTTTTTCATTTTAACTTGCTAGGGGCTGAAAATGTATGAGAAAAATGTAATTGGCTCTTCAGCGAATCTAGATTAGTGTCTGTCAGTGAAGGATGTACTTTGGAATTACCTGAGGATCTCTCACAACCGCAAATGCTGAGAACCATCTCCACACGCAGCCTCTCTGTGGTGACTGAAGCACAAGCCCCTGGGAGGTCTCTGGTCTTACTATGGGGGTTCTTTGTGCGATTTAGATCCATATAGCCATGTTTTCCAATTCTGTGTGCAACTCTAGAAAACTGGACTAACTTGGTCACCCTGAGATCCTGCAGAGGAAGGAAGGCTAGCCCTGGAGAGGCAGGCTGTTAGTCTGAGGGATTGTCTGCTGGCGCTTCCAGCCGGTTGGTTAAGGGCTGGACTCTCACAGAGAAGTAGTGAAGAAAGAGTTAATTCAAACTGCTCGAAAAGCTAAAAGTAAATTTTAAAATGCTGAGCTGCATATATTCATGCCGGGATGAGAGCCTGCTTACATGCTTGCTGGGCATTTTGGTATTTACCACTTAACATCTTTTCAACTTCTGCAAGGGATTTCTCCCCTCCCCTTCTCTCTAATGTAAACACAGATTTCTCAGCAAGTCCTTCCTCAAGCCATGTCTTATCTGCTGCTAAAAAAATTAATAATGTGTCATCCAGTTGATATACTCATCTGGAAATATTAATTATCATCTGGTAACAGATTTTGAGATGATGGTCTGTTAGTTTGGGGTTAGCGTGTAGTTGTTTTTTAAAGTTAATTTTTTTCCTTTGGTTGATGAAGACCAGACAAGAGTTCAGATTGCCCCTGTAGGCTGTAGAGACACCCCCCCCCCCCCCGGGGAGAACCCTCTCTCCACTTGCTCTATTTCTTTTCAGAATGTTTTTTTTTTTCCTTTAAAAAAATCAGAATTATTAATTAAAATGTGAGAAGTATTCCCAGTTTTGAGAATGCACTTATACACCAGACTATTATCCCAACAGTTATAAAATATTAAAAAAAATATTTTGTTTGGTCAAAATAACAGCTCTTTCTCTGCAATTGGAAGGTCTGTGCCTCTATGTTTTCCATCCAGTTAATGTAACACAAAGCCCCTGTAGTCAGAAATAAGGCTGGTTAAAGCTCCTACCAGCCAGTCTCCTGAGTTCTACTTTTGTATGACCTTGGAAAAATTATTTCACCTTGTTGGTCCTCAATTTCATCATTTACAAAATAAAAAAATTCAGTTGTAACTTGTGAAGCCCACTTCAATCCTTGGACCTTTGGAATATGGACTGTACCAAAGATGGAGCTAAAAGCTGCACCACTGGTTGGGCTAATTCTCTTCAAGTCCTTTTATCTGTTACCATTGTATGAGTAAGAAGCACACAATGCCTGCCCTGCTCAGAGGTGCACAGAAGATCACGGTGGTCAGCGCATCGGAGGGTACTGCAGCACCAACTCAACACCCATGGAATCCAGATTGTGGACAAGAGCCTGCTCCTGTCTGGACATCCTTTCATGGTCAGCTGTTCCCGGACGCAAAAGGAGACCAAGCAGGTTTCTCTGCCTCCATCCTTATCTGATTGTCGCTAGAAATGCCCTTCCCGGTGCCTCTACCCAGCTTTCCACCTAGCCCAGTGTTCGCTTTGTCACAAAGCCACCTCTGACCACCAGTGGCTAATTAGTCAACCTCCCCCTTTCGTTTCTCATGTGCTTAGTCATATTAGTATTTGATTCTTATGTTTTGATTTCTTCTCCTCCTTAATAATGGATAGTATGTACTTAAAGTGATGACCCACTTTTGGGGATGATGTGTATTTTTAAAAGATATATTTACTTATTTATAGGGTATAGGGGGGTAAGTGGATTCACCAGACTCAGAGTGGGGAGCAGAACAGGCAGATCTACTGAAATACACTGCTGAGGGGAGCAGCAGGTGAGCTAGGAGAAGCCTACTGCGCCATGTGGGTCAGCTCCCAGGCAGGGGATCAACTCAGGCCTCAGGGACTGGTGAAAGCTTGCTAGCATGAAGACTTGGACCCATGTGCCACCAGGAAGGCCCTGGTACTGTTTTATAGCATAGTAAGGTGGCGTACAGAGAAGAGTTGCTATCTGCCCCTTGTAATCTATCCAGGCAAGACTTCAGTCTGGGGAATTCAGTGGGTGGGCTAGTGCTTTGAGCCACCACCACAAGGAGCAGAAGCTGTGTGGATCCCTGGTTGCTAGTCAAGGAGCTGGAGGTTGAATGTCAAAACTATCAGCCCTCCACCCCCGACAAAAATGTATTAAAGAGGGGAAAAAAAGAGTCAAAACTGGTCTTTTGTATCCATTATCCTGAGATAGCATTTTTATTCATCCTCAGGTTATTAGGACATAGAGATCTGCATTGTCAGAACCAGCTCTTATATAATTCAGAGAACTGATATTTCAATAGTTGAGGGTTATTTTAGGATTAGAATTTGGGGGTAAGAATATGCAAATATTCTCTTCTGTGGATACCGAGTTATGTCATGTACTGAAGGCAAGGTTAGGTGATGAGCCCAGAAGTGACCCTGCTGCAGGAACGCAGCAGCGTAGTAGAGAAACTAACAGGAGAGAGTGGGGCTGGAGGATGCTCCTCTTGGCAGAGGTGTGGAAGGCACGCGCCAGGAAGGGTTGCATCCCTTTGCACAAGAAAACTCAGGTGTTAGCCAGTTCAAGAATGAAGAAAGACCTTGCACAAATAAATATATACTTTACACACATACATATATAGATGAGTAATTTATCAAAGGATGTGTCTTAGATTATGATGTAAATGTATTTCTAATTCCAAGGAAGAGTCAGAAGCTTGAAGAGTAAGGATAAGTGAACTCTCTTCCAATTCTGTGACCCTCTACTTCCTTTTGTTTGCTGCTGAACAATATTTTGCTAAAGGTTGTTCTACACGAACATCGGAAGTAGTTTATTATTTCTTTCCATAACACTAAGCTAATTTAATGTGCGCATAGGTCCCTGCAGTAGCCCTTTTGTATTTTTATAGGGCTTGTCTACAAAAGTGCCGTAACAATTTTATTCTTAAATATGGTGGTTCTTTCAAGCAATGCTGTAATAGAAAGCCTTTGCTTTAACTTTTGTGCTGTCAATAGCGGCACCTAGTGGTAAAGAAGCCTTATTGCAGTACCTTGTATTTAGACTATTAGAGAGGAACTGATTTTAGGGATTATGAAGTTCTATTTCGTAAATTATTAAAAACAAGCTGAAATCTTAATGTAGTTTTACATTCAAATAAGCTTTAGATGAGAATAAATAAATAAATCCAATGGCTGCATGGTAATTTCTGGAATTACTTTGAAGCTCTTCAAATAACCAAAAAATCTCTATTGTAACTATGAGGCAGAAATGTAACAAAAATGTAACAAAGTATGTCGTATTAGGTTAACAATCTACCATATTGCAGACTTCTTGACCCTTTATGCATTATTATTTACACATACAAGTTAGATCTCAGACTTTAACTTGATGGCACTTGGTAGCACTATGAATCTCTGTGGATGTTGGAGTATGTGGGTGACACCGAAGTCCAGCCGATGGCTCCCCTGGTCTCTTTTCTGCAGGCAGCAGGGGTTGGGACTACCATCCCCTTTTGGGAATTGCCTACCAATTATTTTCTTATATAAAAGAAGCCTTTCCAGAAGGTTTTTTTTCTCTGACATCAACAACAAAGGGGATATGTTCAGAGAAGCCTTTCCAAGTGTTAATAGGGAAGTAGATAAATAAAACATGGTCCTATACAGTAGTTAAGGGGAATAAATTCAATATCTATAGCGCAAAATAGGCAGGGCTCATGAGTTGTTGAGTTAGGCAGGAAACGAAAGCTAGCTATGCCTTTCACTAAACACTATGTTCTGCAGTACATGTACACTATAGGTGTTAAAAACATAAAACAGGCCCTCCCAGGTGGCGCAGCGGGTTAAAGCACAGCACTGAGAATCTGAAGCCACTTCTGTATGAGTTCGATTCCCGCCTGCCGCCTGCCCCGGAGGAGACCACATGGCGAGCCAGATCTCTCCTGACCCGCCCGCTGCTCCCCTCAGCAGTGTACTTCGTCGATCTGCCTGTTCTGCTCCCCACTCTGTCTCTGGTGAAGCCTCTCACCGCCCCTGAGCCTCTGGCCTGTACCCCAGTTCTGTATGAATAAATAAATAAATCTTTAAAAAAAAATAAAAAAAAAAACATAAAACACTTTACAATTGCTCTTCCCCCCGCCCCCCTGACCCCTTATGCTTCTGCTATGATGAAACCATCTCATATTTTTCTTTTTCTTGCTGGTTTATTTCACTAAGCATGATCCCTTCCAGCTCCATCCATGTTAGTGCAAAAGGCATCAGTTTATCTTTTTTATTGCTGAGTAATATACAATTGTATATATGTACCACATCTTTTTAAACCAGTCATCTATTTTTGGGTAAAGAAGACTGATTCTTCATAATGCTACATTTTTCTGTCCTTACAATGTGAAACTAAAAATTCATTAAAGAAATCATTTTAATCTCATAGCTATATCACCTAGACAACTATAGGTAATCTTTTATGAATTGCAGTTAACAGTGTATGTATATTTTTATAGTAGCTAAACATATTTACTAGGATATGTGTATATATATATATATATGTCTTAATAAATATATATACATGGTTTTACCTCCTTTTATTTTGAATATTTTCCTACATTATTTACTTAGAAAAAAAAAACTTAAAATGAATAGGGTATCTATTGTATCAAAATGTACCAAGTAATTCTCCTATCATCAGATTTACAAGATGCTTCAAAGTCTATGTTCATTTAGCATACATTTACTGAGCCCTTGCTTCAAAGATCAGGGTCTGTGCTTCGGAAGGCAATCAGAAGTGCAAAGGAAATCCCTCCCTTGAATAGCTTGCAAAATGTAGTGTAGTGAAAATGTGTGTAGAAGCAGTTACTGGCATTTGTTTCTTTTGGTTACCCTGGTACTAAGGGAATTAACAGATCAAAGGCTACAGGATGTTCTTATGGCTTAAGATTCATGTTGCTAAATTGTTCACTACTAAGGTGATACTAATTTACATTCCCTGCAGCAGTGTTTGACTATTTCCTAAATTCTTTGAAAATAATTTTATTTTAGTTTGCTGTAATGTTGAATTGAACATTTTTCTCTGTTGTGCTAAAATATGCAAGAGTCTCAGCTGCATTTCTTCCTGATAGGTCATCTATTTCTCAGCACTGTTAGATCTGGTTTATTCAGTGCCTCCACTGTCCACTCCATTGACCTGCATCTCCGTTCTGTTCCTCTGTGCAGATGGTTGTCCACATACAGCTTGAGTGTGGGTGGGTGCATGGCAGTTAAACAATTAGGTTGTGTATGTAATTAAAGCTTTATTATGGGGAGAACTGCATACATCCTTAAAGGTAAAGCAAGTTGTACAATGAGCCCTCACATACTTATACATCATAATTAGCAGTTACTAAGATTTTTGTCATATTTACTTCATTTAGCCTTTCCTTATTTTTGCTCATATATTTCAAAGCAAAAGGTAGACATTATGTCATTTGTTTCTACAGGTGCATAGTGAACTTTTTTTTTTTTCAATCTGTCAGTTACTCCAGTCTTAGATATAAAAAGAAAATGTTTTGGGGTTTTTTTGTCCTCTGTTTTTACTTCTGAACATTTACTTATCACCTTTCTGATTCTGCATTTGCCAGTGACATTGGGGCTTTTCTCTAAAGTCGACAGCTGGCGACTTTAGTTAGGTCAGCAGGTGTCATGAAAGCAGGATATGAGGTACATTTTATCGGTTCTGCAGCCTGGCTCATCCACTCAGGTCTCACTACATCAACATTAACCATGTCAAATCACAGTGACTTGTAGCAAGTTTTTTAGCTATAATCAAAGGAAAAATAGATATTATATCACTAAATCTGCTCACTGTTGTACAGATTGAAATAGTCCCTTGTTTCTTGGGAAGGACCCCCTTTGAAAATCTAAACAATATATGGAAACCATTTTATAAAAAGTATATGTGTGTATTTATATGTATGTGAATGTATAAACACATAACTATTGTTTTATATATACACACGTGTTATATGTATTACATATATATGTATGTATGTATGTATGTGTGTATGTATATACATAACAAATTTACATCTATATCAGAAATTTATGCATATAGTTTCAGGAGGTTCCTAAACCATCTAAAAATCTAGTTTAAATTCTGAATCAAGAATAGTCATCAATAATTCCTGTGTACAGTTGCTTTCTAATATGACACATACATGCACACAACTATATTATGTTGTGGGCATGAGGAAGAGAGATTTGGTGATTGTGGAAAAAAACTAGTTCATTATCAACATAAAATACAGAATGAACAAAACCATCTGCTTAATACGGAATTAAGACCCTAAAAAATACTTGGAATCTATTGGGAATGGACATAAGGAGAAAGTGGCCCAGTTTACCTTAAATACACAGCAGAGCACCTAACTGTCTAGCTATATAGAAAACTATGTTATTATAGACAGAATAAATTCACAAAATCATTAGAAAAAAGAGATACAGCAAAACAATCTACTTCATGTCATTATTTCTAAATAGGTGTTAGTAGGTAACATGTTCCAACAAGTAACATTTTTTCAACTGCCATCAGCTGTGATTGAAATAAAAATAAAATAAAACTGGTCAGTTCTGCTCACTATTGCACAGATTTAAACACAATCTGGTTGGTGAAGAGTTAAAGAAGCATTAAAATATATCTGTTCGGTATAAATTTAATTGAAAATGTTGGTGTGCACAGTGTGTCCTGTATTTTTAAACCAGTCTAGTT